GCAGTTATCTACCTTCTAGTGAGTCCAGGGTGTTTTCATTTGGGTTGAAATTCGTAGTAGGTAAGTCTATAGTCTGTTTTCTGTCCTCAATTCATGTACAAGCCTGGACACAGTGATCTCGGTGTCTTTACTCTGCCGCCATCTTCAGCTACCCACCCCCCCCACAAAAAAAAAAACTTTGTAAGTGTAATTTCACTTAGAAAATCTGGCACATGTTTGCCTTCATGGAATTGTATATTTAACTCACATCCTAGGTTTGATTTTTTTTTTATTCAGTATTGTTTCTCTCAATACTTTGAAATGTTCTCTTTTATCCTTTATTTTTATGTTGTCTTTGCTAATAGAGTTTTATAATTCTTGAATTCCTTCATGTTTTTCTGCCTTGTCTATTTTCTTCTATTTAATTTCTTGGCACATTATTGTCCTAGGAGTCACTGGTTTTATTCTCAATTGCTCTATTTTCCTTCCATAACTTTTTCTCAGTAGCTTAATCTCATATTTTTTAGCTCTTTACATCCTCAATCTGTTATTTTCTCATTCAAAAATTAATTTTCTACATCCTTTTGATATTTATTTTTAGCTCATTTTTTATCTATGTTTTTAAAATATATGATGAAATATATATTTTTTTCTGAGTATGAACTTTTCTTTCTACTTAATGGCGTTCCCTTGAGTTCTTGAATTGTCATGTGCTCCTTTTTTTTTTTTATGTCTTCCAATTTTGCTGCTTTAAATTTTCCCATATTTTTATAATTTCTATAGTAGTTACTTTTTCTACAGATGATGCTATGGTTTTATTTTATTTAATTAATATAGTTGAGCTTTGTTGACTTCTGTAGTTGAGACCTGTTTATTCTTATTGAATTAGAACGGGAGAGAATTCTGGATAACCAGCCACTAACATGAGTGTATTAAGGTGACACTTGACCTTTGTTTGTGCATTCATTCTATTCTTCCTTTTTTTGGGGGGCCCCATATTGAGATTCAGTAGTTTCCCTACTGACAATGTTCTTCAAGAGATCAATGAATGTTCTGAAATATGGAAGGGGGTGTTATCTTGAGCATCTTTTCTATTTTTTTTCATTTCATCATGGGAGGTTAGTCTGTGGAGCACCAGAGATCTTCCACCTTAATCGAGATTGTATGTCTCTAAACCATTTAACTCTCTCTTCACCAGGATCCCTGACTCAGTTAATTGTCCTATATATTGTGTTCCCCATGTTGAACCATAGACTCCAGGTTTTTTCCTCTCTCCATTCCCTGTTTAATGAAAGATTATTCTCTTCTATGTTATCCCTGATTCAGTCCATGATGTTATCTGACATATAAGGAATACTTCAGTGTCACATCAACTGAGAGTATCTCTAAGTGTAGTGACCCCTTGGTTAATTATTTGATATTCTAAGGAATGAAACAAGGGATCTCCTCTATCACCATTTGTTGTCATAGTAATATATAAATATATATATATCTATATATATTATATATATATATATATATTATGTAGTTATATATATAGTAATATATATATTATGTAGTAATATATATATATATTATGTAGTTTTATATATATATATATATATATATATATTCTGTTTGAAACTTTCATTTGTACCTAGAATAGAACTGAAAATTAAGTGATAGTTTTGAATCAAGTAATGTTAACTTGTTTGACTATTTACAGATTACTGATACGAATAATAAAAGATATGAAGTTCCTCATCAGTTTGTAAAGGAATTTACTGGAACTGCAGCCTCTGATCCATTGTATAAAGTAGAAGTTACACAAAATCCATTTAGCATCAAAGTCATTAGAAAGAGCAATGACAGAGTTTTGTAAGTAATTATCATATTTTACATTTATTTAAATGTAATTTTGTTAGAATAGAGTTACAGTAGTCTTTAAGACACTTGTAGAAATAATAAATGTTCTTGCTAAACTGGATGAAGATATATATATATATATATATATATATATATATATATATATATATATATATTATAATGATGGAGGGGTTTTATATCCTGTGGATATATGCATATATATGAATGAAAATGGAGATGTCTGTCACTCCATGTGGATCACCTCGGGGTAGGGATCAAACTAGCACTGAAATGGCTGCGCAAGCTTGCAGTGCTGAGTCCTAACCCGTTGAGCTACCAGGGAAGGCCCCCCAGGGATTATCAACATTCGTGTTCAAAAATTGATTATCAACATTCATGTTCAAAAATTTCTGTTCTTAAGTAGTTTTAATAATTTACTATTACTATATGCTGTAACAAGAATATTATATTCCATTTATCATTTATTGTGGTATATATTTGATATTCATAAAATATAAAATATTTTTTTTCTTTTGGAAAATATTTTTGAACTTAATATGAGCATATATTAGAAATGTAGAAACTTCTACACTTTGCCTCTGAAGCATAGTACTACTTTTGAAATTTGACTCTGCTTAAAATAGTTTGTCACCTTAGAGAACATTATCCAAGTAGCGGCTCCTGTAGATTGAGAGTAATAAGAATAGTTATGGTTTAGGCTTGTGATGAAGATTAATGGAAAAAATGCATGCAAACGAGTATGTTAGTGTTGATGTAAAAAACAGGATTGTAACAATGTGAAACAATTAGTATCATAATTGACAAGTTCTGTCATGTTTATCGAAGAAATGATGACAGCTAAAGACTGCCATATCAAAATGAAATTGAGACGATGTTAGCATAGATCTGAGCTTAGTAGAACAAATTAAGTATTTTTTAGAACACTTATTGATTTCTTTCATGGCACAGGTTTGACACCAGCATTGGTCCCCTGGTGTACTCTGACCAGTATTTACAGATCTCTACCAAACTTCCCAGCGAATATATGTATGGTTTTGGAGAACATATTCATAAAAGATTTCGTCATGATTTATCCTGGAAAACATGGCCAATTTTTACACGGGATCAACTTCCTGGTGATGTAAGGAACTATCTTATAAATGAAATGCAATCAGAGCAAATAATTTTAACCTATTTTAAACAATCATTTATTTTATGTCAATGATACCTAACTCAGAACTTTGTTTATTTTAGGAGTGGGTGAATATGGAAAACAAAGCCCTAAGTGCATGTATTAAGTGAAAAATTTCATGAGTGTTTAAATAATTATTTCCATCTTATGAATACTATCATTTGATTTCAATATTTATATTTTATTATTCATTTTTAAATCACTGTTGCAATTTAAATAATTTTAAAATACTTAAATAATTTTAAACAATGTTCAGCTGAGTTTGTATAAACATGGTGTCTGTGGATCTATTGGGCACCATAATATGTATCTTTGCTCACTTTCTCCAATTTTATAACATATGATAATATTCCATAAATTAATAAATAAAAACAGGGGGATTGTATTCTTTACAAGTACTAAAGTGTGTTTTCCTTGATCATTTACATCATAAGTCATTAGGAGTACATTTGAGTTTCAAAAGGACTTCTCATAACCCCCGCGTACAGATCAGTCTTTACTTTTAATCCTTATTTTTATTTTAATATAAAAACTATCAAAGTATATTATTTGTGTAGATATTTGTCTATATTTCTATAAGGTGTGATAATCCAGGACAAAGATTACACCATTTAAAAGTTTATTTTGAAATATTTGCACAATTTTGTATTGAGTCAAATGTTGTGACTATTTTTACATTCCAGTGCTGTTTCATTCCTGAAATGTATAAAGTGTTTTAAAGAATATCATTCTGTACAGATCTACTAAGAAATTCTACTAATTCCTTTGTATAGAATTCCATTTGTAACAGGTTACTAATTACAACCAGGCAGAAAACTTCAGCTACTTTCCGTATGTTCCTTCCTTTGAAATTCTATATCCACCAAACAAGTAGTTTTGTCCTTTGTTTGCAGTGTATTTGGCTTGTGCAGTATTTATTGGATAGATATGTAATTACCCTATCATAAATAGCTTATTAAAACTCATTTAATCATAGTAAGCAGAAAGGAAGTTAGAGTAATCTAATAATAACATAATATATGTATTATGGTACATATGTTATACCTGGATATACTAAAAAGTTAAATGTTCATAGTGCTTCAAATGACAAAGAAATGCATAGAGAGATATAAATAAGCCAAGAACATATCAAAATTAATATATTATTTAAATGCATTACTAGTTTTACTTAAATATACTAATATTTTCATGTTAAATTATTTTTTCCTCTAGAACAATAATAATTTATATGGCCATCAAACATTCTTTATGTGCATTGAGGATACATCTGGAAAGTCATTTGGTGTTTTCTTAATGAATAGTAATGCAATGGGTAAGAGTGACTATTTGATGATAATTCAAATACAGATTGTTTTTATGTTGTGAATGTGATATCTGCATTTAATAGGTGAAACAGTGATATTGAAATATACAGAAATGACCTTTTAAGAGCTATATATTACATAGTTATTCAATTAATTACCGTTATATATATACAAAAATAAAGGTTTTTATGGTTATTTTTTGTAAACGTTAATATTTGATGAAAAAGTCTTTCCGAATTCTTCAATTAGATTGACTAAGTGAAATACACATATAAAAATAAATATTTTTTGTAAAATTTTTATCCTCTGGATTTTCCTATACAAACTCACAGGAGCATTTGTAACATCTGCAAGAGGATAATTTGGTGTATTCTAAAACAAATTTACCCCAGAGGGCATTCTACTATTCTCCTATAGCTTTCCTATTTCCAGTACCCCATTTTCTCTTAAGAATTTAACAACAATATGAAAATATGTAGCTAAGACACAATACTGTGTTTCTTGTTATTACTTATATATTCTTCTGATATTTATTTTACAGAAGTTTTAATCCAGCCTACACCAATAGTAACTTACAGAGTAATTGGTGGGATTCTGGACTTTTACATCTTTCTAGGAGATACTCCAGAACAAGTGGTCCAACAATATCAAGAGGTGTGTTTAACATTTATTTTATGCAATTATTTTCTGCTATACTTTTATATAGCATGTCCACATATTTAAAAGACTTTTTAAAATACACCTGTAGCGACTTAGCTAAATATATTCTTCGAACTTACTGGTTTCCAGATGTCAGTTAGTGTTTTCATTTTGTTTTTCTATGCCATAACATGTATGTATGTATGCATGTATGTGTGTATGTATGTATTTCATAATTATATGAACATATGTGTGTATATTTAAATATGTATACTTAATTTTATTTGTCCTTGCTAGTAGATATCTGAGTTCAGTAACTGGACTTCTTTGAGAAGTTACCTATTCAATTTTTACTTATCATAGCTTACTTTCATGTGCTAAAATTAATTTCAAGTCTGAAGATAAGAAATTGATGTATAGTTTATAGTTATTTATATAAAAATCTTTAAGAAAGCTAAATTTTGAGAAAGCTAGATAAATTTGTATTTTAAGTGCAGTGGTAAACCCCAGGAAAATCCAGTTTGTCACATAGGATTAAAAAGACAAATTTTGAAGCATATTCTGAAACTTTCTAAGGTTAGTGCCTATGCAATTCTCATGCCTAATAAATGCCATTTTAATGTACCTGATCCCTAGATGGACCTTAGGTGAAGAATATGGGGCTAACCTTGAGCCTGATTCTAAAAGTCTCTCCCATATAATGGTGTCTATTTTGAGTTACCATGGAAATTATTGTGATAAGATTTTAAGGATCAAGCCTATTTTTAAAACTTTAATTTATTGATAGATCTGTTCATATAATTTCTATTTTCAAAACTAATCTCAAAAGAGAAGAAATTTTTTTAAGATTCACAACCCTGTTACGAGAATAGATAGCTTTACACAATTGAATATTTTACAATGTCTGTATGTCTGAATTTCAGAAAAACATATACAATTTACAGTTTTGATACATGACATAATTACAAACTATGTTGACCTCGTATACAGACTATTTATGATTGTCAGGCCACTAAATGTAGATGTAACTCATTATGTAAAAATACATCTAATTTGTAAAATATTAGTTGGAACAATTGTCCATTACATGTTAAGAAAATCTATTTTAAGCAGTAGTTAAGTTAATGTTTGAAAAAGGAATGACAAGTATACATATATTATAGTGTACATGTATTTATGTAATTTTACAAAAAGATTTGTAGAGTTTTGAATTTAATAAATAAGATAAAAATATATATGTTGTAGATAATTTTTAATCAGTGATGCATTTAAATAAGTTTCAAATTATGTTTATAATAGGCAAAATAAATTTTGTTTCTTGTTTGAAGAAAAACAAATTTTCCTTTTTACATAGACTACTAATGGTATCAATATATTAAAATTCAAAGCATAACTCACTTCAATAGGCAGATTATTTTGTGTTTTAAAGATAATATATCCATATAAGATATAAAATGAAAATATCAATGCACAAATAATTTGCAAACTTTAAAAGTCTATTTTCATATATGATGCATACACACAGAGAAAGGTCAATGTATATAGTATAAAGTACTTTGCCCCACCCTCTTCCTGACTTCAAAAACCTTGATTCTAATGTTCTTTATTGAAACTATTTAAATGGTAATATCTTCAAGCTCACTGGACTACCAGCAATGCCAGCATACTGGAGTCTTGGATTCCAACTAAGTCGCTGGGATTATAAGACACTTGATGTAGTGAAGGAAGTGGTAAAGAGAAATCGGGATGCTCGTATACCATTTGTAAGTAGAATGGAGGGCTTTTAGGGAAATAGAACAAGTTATATATTGTTATATAATAATGTAGGCAATTGTCATTAATATTCTAACTTACTTATATTGCATACTTATTTACCATATGTATTGAATTTAAGCTGCTTTTAATAGCTCTGTAGTCCTATATTAAACTGTCTTTATTAATAATGTCTATTTTATGTTTATTTGCAATTCCAGACTTACTTGAAATTTTGGTATTGATTAAAAGATATACTAGTAAAATATGTTCAAATCTGAATAACATCATAGATCACATATAGATCTTATTTTGTAGTAACTGCATTTATTTATTATTTATTTTACTTATTATACTTAATTAGGTGTGCGAAGCTGGGATGTAGGCCAGAGATGCAGGGGGTTAGAAGATTCCACCAGAAACAGAGTGGGGAGCAGAACATGCAGATTGACTGAAATACACTGCTAAGGGAAGCAGCCAGCGAGACAGGAAATGTTTGCTGAACCATGTGAATTTGCTCCCTGACCAGGGGATTAAACTCCTGCTGCAGTGGCTATGGATATCTTCAAGGATAGCTTCATAGTGCTGAGACATAACCCCTATGCCACCAGGAATGCCCAGTATCTGTACATTTTTTATGTAATGGTAGTGAACATATACAAGGGTATGATCCTAGACAGTGATTACCTCAGTTAAAAATATACAAAAACAAAACAAAAACATGCATTTGTAAAGCCTAAGATTTTATTTTCATAATAAATTATATATACATATATATAATATATAACATGCATATCTATTGGTATTTTTGAGAAATTTGGATAATAATGTATTATTACAAGCTTTAGAATTATAAAAATACACTTATTATAAATATTGAATAGTTAAAAGGGATTGAATTTCATTAGTTTTTTTTTTAAGATTTATTTATTCATACATGAGCTGGAATTCAGGAAAGAGGTACAGGAGATGAAAGGATTCACCAGAGACAGAATGGAGAGTAGAACAGGAAGAATGAGTGAAATACACTGCTGAGGGGAGCAGTGAATGATACAGGAGAGGTCTCTATACCATGTGGGTCAGCCCCCTGGCAAGCTGGGGATCAAACTTGTTCTGTAGTGGATGGCAATAACTTGATAGCCCTGTGTCTTTAACACCTGTGCCATCAGGAAAGCCCTCATATAATTTTACTTATTAATAATAGAAATCAATTGTGCTTAATGGATAAAGTGATTTAAAAGTTATTTCAGTATATTTTAAGAAAATGTACTCTACTAAATTTCAGGATACACAGGTGACTGATATTGACTACATGGAAAACAAGAAAGCCTTTACTTATAATAAAGTTGCATTTAATGGACTCCCTGAATTTGTTAAAGATTTGCATGCACATGGACAGAAATATGTTATCATCTTGGTAATGATTGATTATATATTATTATTATTGTTGTTGTTATTGTAATGATTTTCATGTACACATTTATAAGCTAACAGAAATTTTGTTTGTTTTGTTCTATTATTAGGACCCTGGAATTGCCTTAAGTAATCTTGAAAATGGACAACAATATGAGACATATGTGAGGGGAAATGAACGAAAGGTGTGGGTAAATGAGTCAGATGGAATTACTGCACTAATCGGAGAGGTAAAATATTTATATATTTTAAAAATTTGTTTATGCATACACAGCTGGGGTATAGTCCAGATGTACAGGAGTGGTAAGATTATTCACCAGAGACAGAGTGGGGAACAGAACAGGCAGACTGACAAAGTACACTGGTCAGGGGAGCAGCAGGCCTGTCAGGAGAGCCTGCCGTGCCATGTGGGTCACCTCCAAGGTGGGGATCAAACTCATGCTGAAGTGGCTTTAGCTTCTTAGTGCTGTGCCTTAACCCACTGTGCCACCAGGGAGGACCTGGAGAGGTAAATTATTAATATCTGCTAAATTTATATTTATTTTTTTCATTTTTACCTACTTTAAACAAAAAAAATGTAAGTTCATGTGTATATGTTTGTGTATGATTTCTTTCAAATCTGGATTTTATATTTTAACTCTGAAGAGATTTTTAGACTGTTATTTAAAATCAGTTCTTGTAAGAAGGTATAGAATTTTCAATGTGTCACATAACTACAACTAAAGTTAACACAACATGATTAATAAATTACAATAAAATCTTATATTTGATGTAATGTGTGTGAGAGAGTGTGTGTGTGTATGTGTGAGTGTGTATAGAGAGAGAATGAGAGAGATAGA